AAAATATGGTCTTACATATGCTGAGCGAACTGAAACCTCCACTTTACAAGGTAATTCAGATAATTTATACAAATCGACAGTAGGAAGGGTAACTCCGGTGTGCATTAAGGTATTGTGCACCTATTTTTTTCGAATTTATACAGTCCTGCTACACGTTGCTATTTCATGTTTTCAATAATTCAGGGACATTATTGAGACGTGGTGGAAATATCGGAAAATATTTGGAAAAGTTAAGGTTGTCTTGATAACTTGCTTTCACTTCATAAATTCCATTCAATCGCTTTGTATTTAAAAACTTTTGTGCAATTGTTTTTTAATATCAAATTACCATTACATAGCTYAGAAATGGAAATTATTTCTTTGCTTATAGCTTCCAATCCTGCAAAACATGAGAATTTCGATATGGGTTTTGTTTGTCACTTGCTGAAATATTAAGGAATTTTGGATTGTTCTGTTTAGTTTTAGGTAGTTCGGGAAAAATTGGGGGTTTATAAATATATTGTTTTTTACGTTTGACTTGGGGACATTCAGCTAACAAAGCGAACCTATTGTCCCCCAAATTTGGTGGCCAGGGGGCCATTGGCGATAATTAAAGCACAGGCACTTGTGAAGTGAAGTTAACACAAGAACTCTTTAACCGATGTGGACAGGTCTTGAATTAAGATAGGCCCTCAAAGGCACTATTTGTGCAAAGTTGTATAACGATATGTGGATTGGTGCTTGCTGCGTCTACGGCATATTTAAGGAATCGGACACAGTTTATAGTTTATTAACACAGGTTTATAGTGTTATATAGGAAGTAAGTGTGTTTGTAGTCCAACGGAGACCATTTTCACTGATTGAAATAAATCGAGTAGGTTTGGAAATGTGGAATGTCGCCTTGAGCAATTTGACACCAGCTCCTATAAAGTTGCATCTTAGAAGTGTGGGTGTAATTTAGTATCTCTGACATGTTAAGTTAGTGAGTTATCGCACTTTCAGTAATTTTCATCTGAACCGTTATATAGGGAAAGGTACTATGTCCGTATATTCCCCAAATTTTTCATTTCCTTCTCTTATCTCACCCGCTTATATGGAAGACAAGTAAACTTTTTGCTCCATCGTCATCTTTTGGGGAATCGGGTTCGCCTTCTCCTGGCGTTGTGCGTTCACTGCCATCCAGCAGGCTGGAGAAGTGTTCTCTCCATAATTTAAGTATGATCTGGGTATCGGTCACTAGATCTCCTTTGGGGGTTCTACAAGAGTATGCTCCGGTCATGAAACCTTACCCCTGTCGGCTAGCTTATCAAGCTCTTCATACTCACGCATTTCGGCTTCTTTTTATTGTGGTTTCGGTTACAGCTGTACGAAAGGAGTTTGAAATGCCCTTCCATAGTTTTTTTTATGCCGAGTTGTTGACGAATGCTCCCAGAGAGCAGGAGTGCAAATCGAGTAGAAAATCGTTCGGCTATCTGTTATGATTGTAACTTCTCGACGTAGAACCTTCTTTGTGTTTGTTTCCGTGCGTTTTTTGCTGGACAAAGTCGAGTGTGAATCTTGGCTGTAGTTGATGTTACGACCTCGGAATCGTCTATCAGAGACAGTCAGGTAGCTTGATGAATCTTCTCATGCTGAAATCTAGTTCTACAGATAATCATATTTCGGGCCCCGGCGAAGTCGATCAGCCTCAACCCATTTGGTGATGTTTCGTCGTGGAGGCTGAATTTACCGACTGTTGCACCAAAAATACCTTTTTTGCCCACCCTGCCGTTAAAGTCGCCAAGCACGATTTTGACAAAAATTCTAATTTCTAACATTTATTACAAAAAAAAAAAAAAATAAATAAAACAATGTAAACAGAATGTTATGCATACGTAATATACTCTATTCAGCTTCTTTACATTGTTTACATATTATTTTAGTCTGGGTTGTGCATTTGCCGCAAACATACTTATGTATTTTACGCACTTCGAACAAGTTATGGTTGTTTTACAAAAATTGTTTTTGTTTTTCGTACATACAAATTAGAACTTGAGGRTGGTGTTGGTAAAAGCTCTTTTTCTTGTGATTTTATATATATAGTACTTCTCCGAGTTCTGAACCTAATTGGATCAAAAATTCTTGCCTCGAAATCGATGTTTCCACGCGTTGTTTCTTTGTAATTTAATCCAGCTATGTGTCTGAAATAGCACCTGTTGGCAAGATTTATCTTGCGATGGATTTCCAGGCTGACATTGTTGGTGGTGTTTACACTGGTTTCCAAACATACGAAACTRTCTACAACTTCAAAGTTATGACTGTCAACAGTGACGTGAGTACCAAATCGCGAGTGCGACGACTGTTGGTTTGATGGCAGGAGATATTTCGTCTTGCCCTCGTTCACGGCCAGACCCATCTGCTTTGCTTCTTTCTCCAGTCTAGAGAAAGCAGAACTAACCTCGCGGTTATTGAGGCAGCTATTTCCAAAATACTGAATAACTGCAGTGACCATATACAACTCTTTGACTTCACGCTGTATATTTTTGCCATCTGGTCTGCCACATTTACTATTATAAAGTCTTTTTTTCGGCTTGTTTTATACACTGTCAAAGGAATGTAATTTGATTTATAAAATATGCTTGAAAGTCTATCCAATTTGTCTTCTTGTTTCCACGCACTGTTCCAACAATTGTAGTGTGTTTGAAAGTAAGTTCTGGGCTGATGATATACTCGTGGAAAAATTATTCGTTGTAACATTCCTTCCACATCCTGTGAAAGTTTTCCATCAGGTTTAGAACAACGAACTCCTCAAGTTCCTATTTTCCTAGTTCCTAGGGAAACCTATTTATTATGTATTTACAATTGACGTCACATGCCACCCAGAACTTTATTCCAAATTTGTCGAATTTGTTTGCCATATCTTGGGTAAATCGACACATAGTCTTCAGCGGAAACAACCGCTCATCAACAGCAATGCAGGTTTATAACAAGTTTGTGAATTTTCTATAAATCGATCCCAAATGGTACATGATATCTATAATTTGGTTGGTTTATATACGCTGACTTCTTTCGCTTTTCTTATCACTTTATAGCTTTAGTAAAGTCGTTTTGGCTCATTGTTTTCGAAAAAGGCAAGTCCCTAATTTTTATTTCATAAATATGAGATATCCAAATATTTGCCTCAAATATTCCACGAGCAAACAGAAAATGCTTAATCTTCTATACATTTTTTTACTATTTTTCAAACCAGTCTTATTGACCGATAATGGTAGGCCACGTAACAAATTTTTCTTGGAAAATAGAAAAATAACTAAAACTAAACAATGAAAAAATACTTGTGTTATATGCATATTCTACGAATTGTCATACAGTTTCACAATGGTGTTGTATCGTTTAAAAACGGATAAGCTTTACAAAAGTTTGAACACGGTCAAATGTACCGGTACTGGTAGGTTTAGTGTTAAGTAAATTTTCACTTATGAAACTTTTTATGTTTTCATTTACCGATCCGATTACGCCCATCAATACTGATCACCTCACATTTACACTAGTGGTCACGCAAAGCTTACCAGTCAAAATTTTCAAGTATTGTACATATTTGACAACCCTTTATAGCGGTACTTTTTGTGGTATAGAAATTTTTTATTTAGAAGTACACACATTTACACTCGCGGTCACGCAAAGCTTAGTACTCAAAATTTTCAAGTATTGCGGTACAGAAATTTTTTGTTTAGAATTTTACGGCTTGTTATTTCTCAAAATTATTAAAAACTAAAAACAAAACACATTCAGATATAGACAAAATCATTTGAAAATTAGTGATCTTTACAAAATGAGCTCGAAATGTAAGAGGCTGACAGGCGATGAAAAAATKATTTTTTTTTTTATTTAATTGCATTTACACTATAATTAAATTATTCTTTTACATTATTTTTATTGAAATTAGATACAAAGTTTACTCGCGGCATTGCTTTAAAAACAATAAAGTCGACCGCTCTTATAAAAGCACAGAATAGCTGGTTTATGTTTTACTCATTATTATTACGTAATAAATTAAAAACTAAAATTATATATTAAGTAGATAATATAATTTATTTTACTTCCCCTTACAAACAACTTAACAAAGAATAACAAAATTTAAGAAAATAATTGAACCAAAATGACCTAAAAAAATTTAAGAAAGTTCAGTGGTAAGCTTTGCTTGGCCACGAATGTATATACAAATGATATGTAGTTTTGTGAAGATATCTCAATGCTTATTCAAGGTACTGCTTAAACGGATAGACACGCCCTTCAAAATTTACAGCCCGATTTCGATAATATTTAAACATAGACATACCACGCCCACAAAATTGTATGAAACAAAAACTTATGGACTAAACACTGAATTAAGGAGCAAGCTTTTTTAAAATAAAAATATATTCTGAACCRCTAAAGGTAAATCAACCAAACTTGCTGACTAGTAGTCGCTGTGAAAATGAGTAAATAATAATCACGCCCGCCCCCTTATAATGGGTATTTCTAAAACCACTAAGCAAATGCGCTACAAGGATTTAATTCCACAACCACAATGGAAAACGGTTATAGAACGTGGTATAAAAATTTAACAAGAGGCGTGGCAATGCCCACCTTTAGGTGAAACCTATACCTCAACAAATACTTCAGCAATTTCAACCAAATATGGTTATTTGATAACAACTRCACATAGTTCCATAATCCGAAAATTTTAAGTCGTCAGAATAAAACTTTACAAAAATATTGCTCTTCCCTTAGCGTCTTCTAATTAGAGTGTATCCTCTTGCATAAAAAAGGTGTGAACAGCAGTTTAATACAAGTTTAATATTTTGAAACACTCGAAAGTTTAATCTTTACAAATTGATACTACCCAGTTACAGTCAAACTTAGTCCTTCCTAACTTATTTTAAATATTTTGACACTCTTATTAAATACTTATGGTATATATAAGATTAGATATAAAAGGAAAATAAACTTTATAAAAGGGTAAAATTACATATCTATATATATGTGCATATATTTTTCAGTGCTGATGGTCATTATGAAATCACCCTTTTGACAAAAGCAACTGTCCATAGTAGTGGGATTGTTATGTGGCAACCGCCTGTGGTCTATAAATCGTCTTGTTCAATCGATGTTGCACATTTTCCATATGATGTTCAGACATGCATACTAAAAATAGGAAGTTGGACTTATGATGGTTTTAAGGTGCTGGTATACTTTTAAGACGTACATATATTTATACATATTCATGATAAGAACATAATGATGGGCTAAGCTCAATAAACTTACATGTGGAAGAATAAATATAAAATTTATTAACATTACGAAATTTTTGCAAAATTGTACCTCAACTAAATAAATAGACTTTATTTAAAATTCTTAACTAAAATATATGTAAGAGAAAAACCTCTTAAACTTTTTGACAAGTGTAAGGAGGAAAATTGTAATATATATTCAAAAGAAAACTACTTAAGTCAAAATTATAAATTTACCGGAACTGTTTTAGTATTGTAATATGAAAACTGAATTAAGTTTATCCCAATCCCAGAGTATTTTTTTATTTATTTTTATGTGATGATTATAAATGTGAAAAAAATAATACAATTATTTTATTTACACGAAAAAAGGAGCACTGGCTGCCAGGACCTTCGGCTAGAGTATTTTTTATTTATCTATTATACATTAAATTGGTTGAGCAGTTCTTTGATACTGCTAAATCATTTGACCGATTTTAAGAAATGTAAGAGTTAAACCTTCAAATTTCATTAAAAATATTAGGAACAAGTTCGGATGTAACCGAATATAACACACTCTCGCACATAACAACGTTCAAGGGCGGAGGATTATATTCGGGTATTGCAAAACTTTATATTAAACAACTAGAGGACCCGTCCACGTTTTACTGGCTGATACATATGATACATTTCTATTATTTAGATTATAACTATTAGTTAAGGAGATATCGCATTTTTGGTGAAGCAACTTGTGTTAGTTTGCAAAAAAATTAATCAAAAAGCATTTCGTGCGTTAAGAAAGCATTGGTTTTTGGGGGAAATTGAATTTAGGTTGTGCACCAATGAAATCAATCGAGTCGAATCGATAGTCAGCTTAGTGAACTGCATGTTATGAAACGGTTCTCTTSCGTGGCAAGACAAAAAATCGGATGGCAAGGTTAGGGCATCAGTCCTTTGGGATGCCCGTGCTATACTATTCATCGAATGATTACTGAGCCAGTTTTAATTCATTGCACTGTGCATTTGGTTGCAGTTCTATTTCACTATTCCCAATATTTAGCAATTTTATTATTTTTTAGAAAAGATCAGTTTGAAATATACTTATATACTTCATCGTTACCGTTTAAATAGTGCACTGCTCTGCGCAATGCTTCGAAAAAATTGCTGTATATCTCAAATTACAATAGACAAATACAACACTTCAGTTATGCCGCTATACTTTTATTCTTGATGTCGCGTTTGGTTTGTTATGAATGCATTTGCGTCCTTCGCCCATAATCTAACAAAGTAACCGCAAAGCCTTCACGACGCTTGTTATGCATTCTTGTTCTCTCCAATAGTTAGCATGTATGAAAAAAATGTAATAGCTACCCATAGATGTACTGAATCACCCAATTTATTACTTAAGGACAAACAACCCTGTCCACGTTATGAAAACTTGCTATTGGTCTACAGATGTCGGCTTTTAAGGTTTGAATACCATACTGCGATGGTAGTCTATCAGATCCAATGTAGAATGTTCAAAATTACCAATTAATTAAAAATGAAAAATTAGTTTCAAAAGCCATTTACCAGTGGATCAAATTGTGAATCTAAACTATTCTCGAATCTCTTTGAACACTCAAAAAAAAAAATTTCATCAAAATCGGTCCAGCCGTTTAGGAGTAGTTCATTTACAAACACACGGTCAGAAGATTTTTATATATAAAGATATAAGGAGTGGCTAAGGGTTTTTCATTTTAAATATAGTTGCGAAAGAATTCAACTTCATTATTCGATGAAAACTTAAATGAATTATTATGAAATTTGGTATTTTATTAAGTTATATGATAGGCCACAGACTCAAGGAGTGAATAGCGAAAATTATATAATATAATGCAGTGGCATAGCGAGGGGGGCGAAGTGTGCCGTCGACCCGGGAGCAACGTCTTGGGGGCGCCAAAACGATCTTTGCTATTTTTGAATATTCATTTCTTTTTACAAAATTTATTATAAAAGATAAAGATTTGTACACTCACAATGTTGTATCTGAATAACAATGAAAAATATTAATTTTTACTCGAATACTSTTCAGTCTTTGAATTTGTTTTATATCTTTTTAGCTTATATCTTTCTTAATAGTGATGCACTTTTCTAGCTTTGATCGCTGCAAAATCACACATCATATTATTGTAATGTAAAGTTGAAGCAGTTTCACTTTCTATTGAGAGAATCGCAAGATTGGACAGTCTACTCTGATTCATGGTCGATCTCAAGTAAGATTTGATCAATTTAAGCTTGCTAAAAGATCTTTGACAAGATGCAACTGATACAGGCATAGTGGGTGGTATTTTTAAAGCTGTCGCTAACGTCTTGTAGGCTTCCAGTCCCATTGAAGAAATGTATAACAAAACTTATTCTGGCAAAAATTCAATTTGTTCTTCGTTTTGCTTGGCTCGCTTTAATAAAAGTAGGACGTCTTGGATATCACTGTATAAATCTTCGTTATCCACGTCACTTGGATAGGATTCGGCAAGTTGTTGGCATTTTTCTTTAAGTCAAAAGTGTACACCATGTAGGGCTTTTAATAAGATGTCTTGTAAATTTACAATAAATTTTCTCATAAACGTATTGCGAGAATTTTGAAACTTCAGAACTTGCGTGGCTTCTAGTTCCTAAATTTTATATACTTAATATCGAAGATATTTTGTAAAAACTTTTGTTCGAACCACCTCATGAAACTTGTAGGTAGGTAGATAAAGGGGAGCGGCAGAATATCCTTGGCCCCGGGCGCCCGAAGTTGTAGCTACACCACTGATATAATGATACATATCTGACGGAAATTTAACTGAAGAGGATAAATTTAATATATTGAGATGATGCGTAAAATGCTAACGTAAATATAATAATTGATGATATTGGGGATATGAAATTAAGACCATGGCTTAACCAAGTTTGTTTTGGGCGTAAGATGAAATTCCTTGAGAGCTCTTTTGATTGGTTCTGGATTTATATGCTGGAAAGGAACAAATCAGATGGAATTTCAAATTGTGTTATATGGGAATTTGACGTCGTTTTCGTCTGGTTACGCATTTGCACACTGTATTGTCGAAGTGTCAGCTTAGAATTATATACCGAATTTGGTTGAAATCGATCGAGTAGGTCCCGAAATAAAGAGTGTGCCATCCTGATTAACATATTGATTCATTGCACTTTGAATAGTACGATTTTGCCTATTTTCATGCCATTGCGAAAGGTGTCTGGTATCTTTTCAACTTGTATTATCAGTCGTACACTGATAGGACCTGGAAATTAGTATATGAGATTTAGAYCTGTTTCAGTCATATTCAGTGCTAGCAAGGGTCAAAAATAAACAGGTAAAAAGGCTTAATTCGGGTGTAACCGAACATTTTTTACACTTGCAACTTGAAAAAATCAATTCCAGGGAAATACCTTACTATMTAAGCAATTTTATATATACATCTATTATATATGTACATAACGCGTACACTGATTGTTAGAAAAACCTAAAATCATTACATGGGAGTTGGGGTAGTATCGACCCGATTTTTTCTATTAACTACTATAAGCCACACACTCAATAAATGTTTCTTCGGATTCATTAAGGTAGCTCATATACAGTCAACAATCATATAGAGCAAAGTCAGGCGGATGTTCGAAAATTCTGGAAATAATTAAAAGGGGGCTAGACCAAGTTTTCACACACTTTTATCTATTTTCGGCAGAAAGATACACTGTTATCAGTAAAACGCGCTGTTTCACTTTCATAAAAATAACTAAAATGTTGCTTGATAAATACAGTATTAAGTATAAGAGGGCTCAGAGAAGTATTGAAAGAGTTAAACCCATTTCGGACACACATAATTACTATTTTCAGGAAAGGATTCTCTCTGGATTTCAATTGTTCACCGCATAGAGTACCCGATATTTTCGGTAAATATTCAACTTTAGTAAGTTTAAAATTGTACTGTATTGAAAGTAGGCATAGTTTTAGTCCACTTTCGCTCATTTTTGCACAATGAAGTCGGAAAACGAAAATGGAATGCCAGGTACTAAATTTAGTCGAAATCGGTGCAGCGAGTCCCAAAATACCATGTTGTTAAATAAGTTTTGTTGATTGATAAGAAAAACACAATTTTATGATTAAAAATACACTTTATTATTCAGTATCTTCTTGAACCTTAATACACTTTCTCCATCGACCCTCCTATCTGTGGATCCCGTTTCTGAAGTGGAAATCCGTAAGGTCTGCAAAATACGCTTCAACAGCCTTTATGACCTTTACATTTGATGGAAAACGYTTGCCACACATAAATTAAATAATAAATGGAAGTTGTTGTGGGCGAAATCTGATGAATTCGGTGGATGCTCCAACAATTCGAACTTTAGTTCATGGATTTTAGCCATTGTCAAAATGCTCTTGTGACACAGTGCATCAAACCAGGTCTATTTTTACTATTTTTTTCCTTCAACTGGTCCAAAAAATTGCAATAATATTAAGATTTAATTGTTTTACTAATTTGCAAGTAATCCACAAACAAAATTCCTCTCGTATCCAAAAAAAAACTGATAGTTATGACCTTCTTGGCCGAGTTCCGGTCACGAACTCGTTCCGAATCCGAACAACAAGATTCATACCACTCTTTACCCTCTTGTTTTGATTCAGGATCATAGTGGTAGAGCCAAGTCTCATCCATAGTGATGAATCGATGCACAAAATCCACTTCATCCTTTTTAAAATGCTCCATATGTTTCTGAGAAAGTCGCATCCCAATGTGTTTTTGTTCCATTGAAGTGAATCCGGCTCCCATCGTGCACACAGATTTCTAGAACCCAAACTTTCACCCATTTTTCTACTGTTCTAATTATAGGTGAACACTCATTATGCTAGTACACTTACAGTGGGGAGCAAAAGTGATTCCACTATCAACATTTTCATGTTTGAGAGCGTATAAAAAAGAAACGAATGAA